CTCCAGCCGGCCTCTTTCCCTCCGGAGGCCTGAGCTGGCCATGCTGCCCTGGAAAGGGGCCTGTGGGGAGAAGGGGTAGGGAGTGGGGGAAACACAGCAATTAGGGCCGCCCTCCAATCTGGCAATGAGCTCCCTGATAATTGAGCTCCCCAGCACCTGCCAGTGGGAAGCACTAACCACTCCACCTGCTCCTCCCTGGCCCAGTCCCTGCAGGTGGAGGGGAGGGGGCTCCGGGGTTGGGTTACAGAGCCCAGCTCTCTGCGCCCAGAGGGGATCCAGGTCCTGAGCCTGCTCACTCCACATCTCACGGGTGCCACGTCCCTCAGGTGGGAATCCGGGAAGAGCTGTGGACAGCGAAGTGCCCTCCTATAAGGAACAAGGGGTGAGCAGGCTGGAGCAGCACAGGTGACTGAGGAGCAGGAAGCCGGAGCCCCAGCCCAGGCACGCCCCCTTCCCCGCCCCCCCTTCCTGAGGTGATGCAACGGAGTGGGGGGGGGGGGGGAGGCTGTTTTTCCGAGGCTCAGGCTCCCCTGGGCCGTCCTGGCCCTGTGGTGCAGCTGGTCCCGGCTGTGCCGTGGCTTCCCCTTTCTGAAGCTGAGGGTGATCCAGGGCTGCAAGCCCTTCGCTCCAACAGCCCTGTTCCAGCAACACACTGAGCACGAGGGACACAGCGCGGAAGCCAAAGACCCTCGCTGAGATCAATAACCATGATTTAAAGTAAATTAAAAAATGAGTTTTTTCTAAAAGAGAAGAAACTGAGTATACGGTTAAGAATCTTTTCACGGGCCTGCACCGGTTTGGCTCAGTGGATAGAGCGTCGGCCTGCGGACTGAAAGGTCCCGGGTTCGATTCCGGTCAAGGGCAAGTACCTTGGTTGCGGGCACGTCCCCAGTGGGGGGTGTGCAAGAGGCAGCTGGTCGATGATTCTCTCTCATCGATGTTTCTAACTCTCTATCCCTTTCTCTACCTCTCTGTGAAAAATCAATAAAATATATTTAAAAAAAAAATAATAAATCTTTTCACGGTAAACGGCGGCGAGGGCACCAAGGCTGCGAGAGAACCCTGTCCGTGTCCCTCACAACACAGACAGGAAGCTCTGAGCTAATTAATCCTTAACATGGACGGTGTTAGCAAACTGTCTACAGCAACACAGGAACCAGGCAGGGTTTCCCCAGGAATGGAAGGTTGGCTAACGTTAGAAAATCAATGTAATTCACCACATGAACGAACTAAAAAAGATAAACCATATGATCACCTCAACAGACTTAAAAATCTTTTTATTAATTTCAAAGAGGAAGGAAAAAGGAATGAAAAGAAACATCAGCCGAAACCGGTTTGGCTCAATGGATAGAACGTCGGCTTGGGCACTGAATGGACCCGGGTTCGATTCCGGTCAAGGGCATGGACCTTGGTTGCGGGCATATCCCTGGTGGGGGGTGTGCAAGAGGCAGCTGATCGATGACTCTCTCTCATCGATGTTTCTAACTCTGTATCTCTCTCCCTTCCTCTCTGTACAAAATCAATAAAATATATTTTAAAAAGAAAGAAAGGAAGAAAGAAAGAAAGAAAGAAAGAAAGAAAGAAAGAAAGAAAGAAAGAAAGAAAGAAACATCAGTGGTGAGAGAGAATCATTGATCTGCTTCCTGCATGCCCCCTACAGGGGATCAAGCCCACAACGCAGGCATGTGCCCTTGACGGGAATCAAAGCGGGGGGACCTTTAGTCCTCAAGCTGAGGCTCTATCCACTGAGCAAACCAGCTAGAGCCCTCAATGGATGTGTTTGAAAAGTATTTGAGAGTCAACATCTGTTCCTGATTGAAAACAAAAACACACAAAAGCCCTCTCAGCCACGTAGGAGGGGAGGGACCCTCCTCAGCTGAGGAAGGTGAGGATCCTGTGGCCTCGGACAGAGGCACGGGTGGGGCTTCAAGAACCTCCCGCACAGCCCTGGCTGGTGTGGTCAGTGGTTAGAGCACTGTCCTTGCCCTGAAGCGTCCCAGGTCCCAGGTTTGATTCCCGGTCAAAGGCACATCTGGGTTGCAGTTATGCCTTATGGCCCTGTTGGGAAGGGAAGGAGGCAACCAATCTATTTGTCTCTCTCAGATCAATGTTTCTCTCCCTCTCTCTCTCTCTCTCTCTCTCTCTCTCTCTCTCTCTCTCTCTCTCTCTCTCTCCCCTCTCCCTTCCACTTTCTCTACAATCAATGAAAAAAATATCCTTGGGTGAGGATTAACAAAAAACAAACAAAAAGAAACTGCTGCACAGAAAGATAAAAGAACTTCATTGTACATTTCAGGAACTTTATGGGGGGAAAAAAAAAACCCAAAACTTAAACACCAAGCTTTCAACAGATCCCACAAAGACCCCTCAGGACCTTTGCCTTCCTGTGTCCACCAACCCTGAACCACCACCGGACCCCTGCCCAGTCCTAACCAAGCCTGCCCCTCCCTGAACACCACACCCTGGCCCGGCCCAGCCTCTGCAGCCTCCGGCCCCAGGCTTCCCTGGTGGCACCTCAGGGAGCCCACGCTCCTGCTGCTGAGAGGCCCTGAGTGAAAGCAGCGCCCTCCGATGGTGAAAGAACAGATGGCGCTGGGGAGGGTCAGGCTGAAGCACAGCCTCAGAGGCCAGGACCCCTGCGTCCACGGGTCTCCAGGGGCAGCCAGGAGCTGGGCTAAGCTCCACTCTGGGATCCAGAGAGTCATTCTGCGATGCTTGGCAGGTGCAGGAGGCGCCTCAGCAGACGGCAGAGCGAGAGCCAGAATGCAGCCGGATGGGGCCCGGTTCCTCCTGCTCATGTGAGCGTCACATTCCTCGGCCTGACTGCGTTCTCGAGCGGTTTTACAGTCACCGTCAGACACACATTGTGACTGCGTTCTCAAGCAGCTTTACCGTCACCGTCAGACACACATCCTGAAAACCCGCTGCCATCAGTGACCAGCTCATCCGGCCGCCCACGCCCACGCCCACGCCCACGTTCCTGTGGACGGGAGCCCGGTGCCATTCTGAGGCCAGACCTGGAGGCAGATCCTTCCAGAGGCCTGAGGGGAATCCTGGAACCATCCTCCCGCGTCCTAACAGAGAAACCCAGCCCACGCTGAACTCCAGCTGAGAAGTCACACCCCCTCTCCCTCCTGACCCGACCCCTTTGCGTGGGAACACGGGTGCCCTGTGGCTGCTGAAAACTCTGGCATCCAGCTGGGGACAGTGACCTGAGAGGAGAGGAGAACCCCCAGGCCTCGGCCGGATGGGCATCCCAGAGCCCAGGAGCCGGGGCGGGGGGGTGTGGGCATGAGCAGGTGGCAGCTGTCCTGTGGCCCCCGTGGTCTGGCACACCTGCCGCCCCTGGAGCTGACTGGCACCCACCTCTCACCCAGACGCCCTCAGGGATGCTGATGGAAACAGGGCGTCGTTCTAAGGCTGGATCCGGAGACGGTGTGGAGGCCTGAGGGGCATCCCGCTGGCGAGCACGCACGGCATGCTCAGTGGTGAGTGCCGCTTTTTGTCGAGGGCGGCTCAGAGGCAGAGCCTGACACCACACTCGCGAAGTTCCACACGCTTTGGGGTCCTGTTGGGACAGAGCCAGTCCAGGGGGTCAGTCCTGCCCCTCGACCCCACTGCCTTGGGCCTGACTGGGGCGCACTCCCAGCCCCCTCCCCACCAGGAGCCCCTGGGGTGGAGCTTGGGCAGAAGAGGAACCAGTCCAACCAGCTTCGCCAGCTCAGAGGAACCCGGTCACCGACTGCTCAGTCCAGTGGCTGCGAGAGACCTGCAGAGCCTGTGGGACAGTCGCGCCCGGGGGCAGCCAAGTCACAGGTCTGCCCAGTCACCGGCCCAGACACTGCTCGCCAAGTGGCCCTTGAGGAAAACTGGTTCTGCCCAGGGACGCAGAGCAGCACCTCTTTGGAGGACATCCCCGGGCACCCAGGGACATGCCTGCCTGCTCTGGGGGCCACCCCCACCGCCAGGGAAGGTATAACCAGGCTGGACACGAGAAGGGCAGTGGTCAGACTGTCTTTTCTCCCAGAAGCTCCTTGGCACCCCCCTCCCCCGGGGGCGCTCTGCATGCCCAAGGGAAGTGTGACCAGGCACAGCGATATCCTGTTTAGTCCTGACCTCCGAGAGACTCCACGTCACACACACACACACACACACACACACACACACACACGAGTGGCAGCGCTGCACCAGAGCCCCAGGACAAAGATTGCGTCTTGGGCTTCCTATCAGGAGCCCCCCGTGGAGTAAACGTCCTGCCCAGCGAGGCCAGGCCCCGTGGGGCCCCGCAGCCAAGCTGCGAAGGTCTGGGCTGGGGAGCCTCGGTTTTTGCGGGCGCCACTCGGAGGCAGTGAGCTGTCACCCAGGCGCTCGGCAGCAAGATGGGCTGATCCGCGTGCTTCCCCATCCATCAGACAACGGCCTCCGCACTCGGCCACGTGGCCCTGTGCTCAGCGAGCCACACCTGCCGCCACTTTCCCCAGTGGCGCCGAGGGGCGGCCGGCGCCAGCGTCGCCTTCTATCCGCGCCCGTAACCGGGCCAGATCTGCACCTGGCGGCCCGCTGCGGTGCGGCCGCCGCCAGGCTTTCCGGTCTCCTAGCAACGCCAAGAGCGCCCGCGCGCGAGGCGTCCGGAGCGGTGAAGTTCTCCCCTCCGCCTCCTCCCTCCCAGGCCCAGCACAGGGCCCGGAGGCCAGGAGCCCTGCGCCCTAGACTACACTTCCCAGGTCGCTCCGCGCGCGTCTCACAAAGCCTCGCGAGAATCCTGTACCGGAACCCACCTGGCGAGACTGGGCTCTTGCGAAGACCGCCGGGAAGTGTAGTTTGGGATTGGTAGTCTCGCGCCCTGGCACCCGGGCTGTGGTAGCGGGGAGACTACAAGTCCCAGGGTGCGTGGCGCTACCACCTGGAGGGCGGGGGGTACGAAAGAGGAACCCAAGGGGCGCCGGGGTGAGTGCAGGGCTGGGGGTGGGCGGGCGGCGGGGCCGTGGGGCAGGCGGGGGCGGGGGTCGAGGCGGCCTGGAGGTGCCGCCGCGCGGGCAGGACGGTCTCGGGGCGGGGCTGGGCGGGGGCCGGGAACCGGACAAAGGACTCGAGGGAGCCTCCGTAGCCAGACTTGGGACCCCGTCCCGAGCCCCCCGGGCCCCACGGCGCCCGCTGCGCCGGACCGTCCGGGATCCGCGGCCTCTTCCCCGGGGTTTCCGCGTTCATCGCCCCACAGCCTGGGCTTGGCCGAAACGTAGGTTTCGCCGTCGGTCACAGCCGAGCGTCGCCGCCTGAGGACGGAGTAGGTGTTTTAGCTCCGACGTGATGGAGACCAGGGAGTTCGGGTACGATTTTTACAGCATTTCAGGCAGCAGCGTCTGGTAAACGCAATTTCTGCCCGAAGCTGTTTGTGACCGAACTTGTGGCCGCCTTGTCCCATCGAATTCGCTTTTGTTCCGCGTGGTTCTCGGTGTCGCCTATCCTTGGGGGTGTCACCGCGCGGGCGGGGGTCCAGCGGGGTCCCACCGGCCTCGCTGTGTTCAGAAGCGGAGGAGGAGACAGCCGGGATGCGCAGAAAGCCCTTTTCCTGGCGGGCGCACTCCCACCTCCTCCCCCTCCCCCGCATCCCTCCCGAAAGCACAGCGAAGGGCTGTCTGGGCAGGTGGTTCCGAGTGGCTGGTGCCTTTGATGGACACACAGAGCCGTGGCCGGTGGACAGCAGAGTGTGGGCAGCGCGGGCTCTGCCTTGTCACAGACCAAAACTTCAAACAGGGTCCTGCCCTGGCTGGTTTGGCTCAGCGGATAGAGTGTCCGCCTTCGATTTCAGTCGGGCACCTACTGAGGATTGATCTCTCTCTTCCCTCCCTGAAATCAATAAAAAAACACATTTTAAAAACACTTGCTGATTGGTTTGAGAGAGGGAAAGAAAGAGAAACATCTATTTGCTCCACTTACTTCATTGGTTGCCTCTGGTATGTTCCCTGACCTGGATCAGACCGGCAGCCTTGTGTATGGGATACCGCTCTGGCCAGCTGAACTCCCTGCCAGGCCCCGAACCTTTTCCCGTTCGTCCAGTCAAGCGTGTGCCAGCACTGTGTTCGCTCAGCACGTCGGGTTTCAGATGGAGAAGCACGTGTTGGAGCGGCTCTTCACTCTGGCTCCCTTTGCTGGCTTAGCCGGCCAGCCGAACCCACACGGACGGTGACTTGCAGCAGTGAGAGAGGCAGGCCAGTGCACCTGAAACACGCTGGACCACACGTTCCCCACGCCCCTTCAGCCTCAGGCCCGGAAAGCAGGGGGCGGAGGTGGGGTCCCCCTGCTCTGGGTGGACGCCCAGCAAAGCCTTCCTGCTGGGAATCCTGTGGGCATGGTCGTCCTGCCAGGACCCAGCCCCTGACCAGCTGACCAAAACCATCCCACTCCGTTACCCTTCCTCCTGGCGTGCTTAGAATCGCCGTGACCTGAAGACGGTTCTGTATTGAAACCGGTTTTCCGTGCTCGCTTCGGCAGCACATATACTGAAACCGGTTTTCCGAAGGAAAATAAGAACTTGAAAGAACAAATAGTTCAGTTTAAATTCTCACCAAATTTCTCTTGACCTTGTAGACATCCTTTTACCCAGTTATTTGGCTTTGGGTCCAAAATAGAAAATGACTTGCATTTAGTCCGTGGTTTTGAGGTGTGACTCCCCTGCAGTGGCCGGCACAGGCTGTTGGACCAGTTTTGACCAGTGTGTCCGGCTGTGGAACTGTTTGCTGATGGTGCCAGGAAACAGCCCGTGGCTGGGATCTCCTGTGTGGCTGAATGTTTGTGCCCTGAACTCCCTAAGGCGAAGCCCTGGCCTGGGGGAGGCAGTTAGGGAGACTGGAGGGTGTGCCTGGCGGATCAGGGTGCAGGACTAGGGGAGGCCCCTGTCCTGGCTCACCCACCCAGGAGAGGCCCAAGCACACAGTGCGAAGACCGCCTGCCTGTCAGGAAGGCCCACAGCCGAGTCTCCAGGCACTGCGTTTCCCTGTGCGGAAGGAGGGCAGCGATCGGTTACTTGTTCTTCCTGCGCTCACGGCCCTGAGCACCTCCATCGCTGTTTCTGCCGAGTGCACTGTGTTCCTAGAGCCGACATTCCTGCAAGAAAACACTCGCCTGCCGTGTGCCAGGCGATGGTGTTGGGGTCCCCCCTGGAAGTTGGCAGGAGTTTGCTAAAGCTTGTCTGCCTCACGACGGGTCGTGTGGGCCTGGCTCTGAGTCCCCTGACAGGGAGGTCGGGTGTGAGTGTTGGGAGCTTTGCTGGAACCTGGGCCTGGGTCCTGACCAGCCTGTGTCTGCCCCAGAGGCACCCTCTCACCCAGCAGGTCCACATCGGGCGGAGAGGCTCAAGACGGATTAGGGTTTTACCAGGACCAACGAGGGATGGACGGCCACGCCCTGCCTGCACTCCTGTGCAGATGGCACATCACTCTTTCTGCCAGCCCTCCTCCCTCGGGAAGCTGTGGGCGAGGGAGCCGTCCAAACCCAGTCCGGGGGACCCTGAGCCCGGAGGCCGAGGCTCTGGCCTGGTTAGACTCCAAAGCCGTGGGCCTCACCTGGCACCTTGATTTGCAGGCCTCAGACCTGGCCGTGAGCCTCCTGACCGCAGAGCGCCAGGCTGCAAGGAGCTGGATGTCTGCAGCTCGCGTCCTGCGGGGCCAGGCCAGGTCCCCCGCCCGGCAGCCCTGCGCCCCTCTCCGCTGCGGACCCTGTGCTCTGGGCCATGGCGCTCCAGCGCGCCGTCCTCCTGGCCGGCCTCCTGGTGGAAGTTGCCAGCAAGTCCTCAGACAGCGCGGTGGGTGCCCTGCCCAGTGGCCTGGGTGCCAGGAGGTGAGGTTGGAGCCTGCGGCCCAGCCCCCTCTGGAGGCGAGCCATTCCCGGGGTCTCTGGTCTGGGAACTGACCGGCCTTCCCCTCCAGGGCCAGCAGTCCCAGTGCTGTGTGGACGTGGTGGACGCCAACACCACCTGCCCCGGCGCAGGCCTGTGCGGCCCAGGTGAGCATCTGGCCTGAGCCTCACAGCTCTCACCCGCTGTGAGGGCAGCAGGCGTGCAGACCGGGAGGTCGGAGGGCACGGCACAGGAGGGGTGGCCCCCTGCAAGCCTCCTTCCTGGCGTGGCCACCTCCTCGCGGCTGGTGGCAGGGCCCCTGGGGAGACTGGTGCTGAGCAGCCGGAGGTGTGGGAGGCGAGAGGCCGGCTGGGCCTGAGAGCGGGAGAGGGAGGGAGGCCCATGTGGAGCACGTTTGCTCGGCCTCCGTGCTCAGTGCTGAGGACGTGAAGAACATTCAGGGTGAAAGATACAGTCCTGCCCTTAAGGGTGCAGCTGGCAGGACGGGCTGTCCATCGGGCACTGGCCGGGCAGAGCTGGTTGCTGGCGGCAGCTGGCAGGTGTGGGGGGTTGGACGATGTGGGACCCGGCGGAGGGGCAGGGCAGCGGAGGCCACACCTGGCGGAGAGGGGTGCAGCCGTCCTCACCAGGTGGCTAGGTGGGGTGGCCTGAGCCTGGCGGTCAGGGCTGTGCTGTAGAGGCCCGTCCAGAGAAGGCCACACAACACTGCCTGCTTTAGGCCCCGCCCGGCCTCTGCTGCCACCCCGACCGCCAGACGGGAACGGACTGGCAGGCGCCAGCGGGCGCGAGCTGCCATGGTTGGCCCGGGGGCCTCCTCACTGCCTCTGTCGCACAGGCTGCTTCAGGCGCTGGAATGCTGACGGGAGCGCCAGCTGCGTGCGGTGCAGGAATGGGACCCACAGCAGCTCCGAGTGCAGAGGCCGTAGGTCGCCCATCCCCTCCCCACACCCATCTGGCCCGCTCTCCCGGAGGCCTCAGCTCGCCCGGACCCCTCTCCCCATCCCTCTGCCTCCCGGTCACACCCGCGACCCCTGCTGCTGTGCCTGGCTCCAGGGCTCCTCCCGGTCACACCCGCGACCCCTGTGGCTGTGCCTGGCTCCAGGGCTCCTCCCGGTCACCCCCCCCTCCCCGTCCCCCCGGGTCCCCACTGACAGGTGTGCCCCCACAGTGGCTGGCCAGGGCGAGCAGGCCCCCGCCAACAGGAGCACAGGGACCCCTGGGCGACCCAGTCCTGGTGAGTGCGCCGGCTCCCGGCTCGAGCAGGGCCTGCCCACAGGGCTTGGGGAGGGGGCATCGTCGGACCCAGTCCCACTGCCGACCCGACCATGGTGCTGGCCAAGCAGGCCATGTCCACGTCAGGGCCAGGGCCTCCCCGTGCACCCTGAGGGTCCCAGCAGGGGGAGGGAGCCCTGAGAGCCATGTCCACCCTCTGCCTCACTCCCAGCCCGCCAGGTCCCTTGTCCGTGTGACCGGACGTGTGTTCTCGGAGGCGGAGGACAGACACCCAGGGCCCGTGCTGTCCCTGACTGCTAAGACGTGGGGCTCCGCGGGTGCAGACACTGCAGCCAGACAAGGGCCCTCAGCTCTGGGGTCCCGGGGCGGGCACAGGACCCCCTCTTACCTGATGCCCACAGCTTTCCTGAGTGTCTCAGGTGCCCCCTCCCGCAGGCCTGCCCGTGCCTCCGGGGCCCAGTGTGGAAGGAAGGGCTGAGGGGGCCTTGCCTGCAGGGGGCCCTCGAGTGGCAGCCTCCCTCTTCCTGGGGACCTTCCTCGTCAGCTCGGGCCTCATCCTCGCTGTGGCCGGCTTCTTCTACCTCAAGCGCAGCAGTAAGCTGCCCCGGCTCTGCTACGGGAGGAACAGAGGTGCGTCCTCGCCCCCCAGCCCCAGCCCAGCCCCGACCCCCAGGGCAGGGCACGGTGGCTGCTGAAGGGAAGGTGGGCGTGCCTGGGCCACCCCCCGTGCAGGTGGGAAATGTGCCTGAAGGCCAGGTGAGGGCACGGTGACAGATGTGGGGCCCACAGCCCCCTGGGGAGGGCGCAGGCTGAGGGCCCCCGGTGATACCTGTGTTCTTCCCACAGCCCCCGCCCTGCAGCCCAGCGAGGCCGTAAGTCACCCGGGTGGGCCGAGTGCCCTCCCATCTGTGCCTGTACCCGTCCCCGTGTCTGACCCCGAGTCTGTCCCCGTGTCTGACCCCGAGTCTGTCCCCATGTCTGACCTGAGTCTGTCCCCGAGTCTGACCCCGAGTCTGTCCCCGTGTCTGACCCCGAGTCTGTCCCCGTGTCTGACCCCGTGTCTGACCCCGAGTCTGTCCCCGAGTCTGACCCCGTGTCTGTCCCCGAGTCTGTCCCCGTGTCTGACCCCGAGTCTGTCCCCGAGTCTGTCCCTCAGCGCGGCAGCCCCAGTCTCACTGTCCTCTCCTCTCAAGGCCGCGATGATCCCCCCACCGCAGTCCTCAGGTACGTCAGCGCTCACGTCTGCCGGCTGTGGATCGCTGCCTCCGGCCACAGGGGAAGCGGGACCTGACTCAGTGGCCTCACAGCCTCCACCCCTGGCGGCTCCGACGGCCAGGCCTCCCTTATCAGCCGGGGCTCCCGTGCCCTGTGCCCTCCGTTTGGTTTCTGAGACTCTGAGTCTGTCAGGGAGGAAGAAGGAGCAGGAGGGGGAGAAGAGGGGAGGGGAGGGGAAGGGGGAGCGAGAGGAGGAGGGAGGAGGGAGGGGGGAGAGGAGGAGGAACCCCCGATGGGGCCTCGGGTCACCCCGCCTCCCTGGGTTGGCCCTTCGCCAAGTCCCTGCTGTGCCCGAGGCCTGGCTTTCACTGCTGGGTCAGGCGTGTCCTGCCTCTGCGCGGGGGTGCCAGCGGGGTCTGCCCCCTCCCCCCGGCCCCACGCTGACCCACCTGCCTTCCCGTTTCAGTGCGGAAGCCGCGCTACGTCCGGCGGGAGCGGCCCTCGGCCCGGGACGCGGGCCCCGCTGCCGTCTCCTTGGTGGAGGCCCGGGTCAGCAACGTCTGACGGGCGCACCTCACTGCACCGCCGCCCACCACCGAGGCCGCCCAGGGCAGCTGTGCCCCCCAGGCCTCCGAGGCCTGGACTCGCCCGGCTCCGCGCTCAGCCCCAGCGGCAGGCGCGGCGTGGCCCCCGCCAGCCTCCTGCGTGCCCAGTCCTGCCCACGGCCGCTCAGCGTCACCGACCACAGCAGGCGTCCCCGAGACTGGCTGGGAGCCGGGCTGGGGGGCTCGGGGCCTCGGGAGAGACGGAGGGACCGCAGGCTGCCCCCTGCTGCAGCGCCGGCCAGACGCTCTGCCCACGGAGCCGTGTCAGCACCTCCGAAGGCAGTGAGGCCAGGCCACTGGGTGTTCCGGCCGGTGTCGGATGGGACCGGTCCCGAGGCCCAGGCACCTACAGGGCTGTCCTGGGCCGACCCCCAGCCCATGACCCCTGGTTCCAGGAGTTGCAGGTGTTTGCTGGTTTCCAGCCAACTTCGGACTCTTTTTAAGCAAAAACTCATTTGTAGGAAAGTCTGTTCCCCACCCAGAGCCCAGCCTTTGGGCTCCATCCCCCCAGGACACACGTGCCCACAGCACTGGACTCAGGGCCCAGCCCCAGGGAAGTGTCCTCCAAGCCCCCTTCGCCCGGACGCTGCCTGGGCATCTGGTCCCGTGACCGGCGGAGGGAGGCGGCTGCTACGGAGAAAGGAGTGTTGTGGCCACTTCCCGCGCTGGACTCGGCACTGGCCGCAGCCCCGTTTCTTCTTCAGTCTGCGGCCGGAAGAGGGCCCGTGTGGTCGGGCTCCGAGCCCTCGGCGTGGGGAAGCCGTCCAGTGTCCAGATTCGAGCGTGTCTTCCCGCCCAGCAGCCGAGAGCAGGGAGCCAGCGCAGACCTGGTCCAATAAACGTCCTTCTGCACCACAGGCCCCTCTGTCCTGCGCAGGTTGAGACCCATCCAGCTGCTGCCCCTCACGGGGACAGGGCCTGGGGAGAGCCCGCACAAGGACCAGGCCCCTGCCCAAAAGCCTGCGCCCCGGCCGGCGGGCGGGCGAGCGAGTTCCCACGCAGCCCCACCGTCGGGCGTTTCTCCGGCTCCCCGGGCAGGCAGGACCCCTCGGCTGCGACGGGCACGCTGAGGCTGCTGCTCAGAGGGCTTTTCTGAAGCAGGAGCAGCTGGCGGGCAACGTGGGAACCCCGGGTGGCCGGGGCCTGCACAGGACACCCATGGGCGCAGGAGGCGTGCCCAGTGGGCAGTGCCAGCTGGAGGAGCTGGTGAGCAGGGGACATTGATGTGTGCAGCAGGTGGCTAGCCACAGGGGTCAGGGCTTCGCCCCAGAGCTGGCCTGACAGCCTGGCCCAGCCCATGTCCACTGTTGCCTGTGCTGGGACACCCCGTCGGAGGTTTATGGCTCTTGGGGGGACGTCTGCTGGGCTGGGGAGGCGAGGGGTGCACAGCAGGGGCTGCAGGGACTCCCAGGCCTCTGTCCTTTGTTCTGGGGATGGTGCTGGGAACTGCCTGCCCCGCCCGTGGCCAGCAGCCTCCCCAGGGCCAGGCCCTGGCAGGGCAGGCCACCCGGTCCTTGAGCTGCGGTCTGCCCGCCGCCAGGAGGGAGGGAGCCTGGCCAGACCGAACCAGTGGCGGATGGGGCCTGGTACCCGTCCTGGAGGAGGAGGGAAGGCGGGCATAGCCGGGGTCCTGGGTGCCACGTGGAGGGGCTGGTCGCCCCCTTCGCCCACAGCAGCCCCGACAGCTTCTCCCCTCCAGGGGCTGGGTGGGGAGACCAGGTCAGGGTTCCCAGCGGCTCATGGGCCATAGGGAAGGAGGAGGAGCCCGCCAGCCGGGGTGGGGTGGGGGACACACCAGGACAGCTCATGCCCTCTGCTCCCATGTTGGCACCAGGCCAGGCTGGTAACGGGGACAAAACAGGAAACCACCACGTTCGACCAGGACAGCAGGTCTGGCGGGCCAGGCCCTGGAGGCCAGGCCAGGAGGAGGGAGGCCCCCACCCGCCACCTCTTCCTGCCCAGAAGCCCAGGGTCCCCTCGGCCCTCTCCACACCCTCCCAGCCCCAGCCCCAGCCCCACACCGGGCGCCTTTCCCCTGACCTGTGAGCCTGGGGGGAGGTCCCACCCTGGCCCCAGATAGCACAGGTGGTGTTGCTGGACTCCCCAGCCCATGACCCTGAGCCCCCAGGCCAGACAGCAGGGCTTGGGCACCAGAGGGGAGGGTGTGGGGGCTGGCAGGGCAGGTGGTCTGAGTGGGGCCTGCACAGCCCTTCCTGTCTCCATCCCTCACCCCTCACCAGCCCTCATCTGGACTCCAGGCCCTCATGGGCCACAATGGGGGTGGTTTCTGGGTCACAGCTCAGGCCAACGCAGGCGGGTGGGCACCATGCCCACGTCATGAGGGGCTGGGTCTCCCCGATGCCCCAGGAGGTGAGGTGGTTGGGGGTGCGCCCTGGAGTCACAGCTGCATCTCATTCATTCACCCAGAGCTAGGAGACTCCCTGAGAGCCAACAGGGGTCAGAGGTCATCAGGAGACCACCTATAGCAGTTGGGAGGCGGGGCTCAGGGCTTGACTGGGTGGGGCCTGAGGAGGAGGTGTGAAGGCAGAGGGCCCAGCCAGGGGCCTGAAAGAGCTGCAAGGTGGGGGCCATGAGGGCCTCACCCATCGGCAGCCATGCTCCCCTCCGAAGGTCCACGCATCTGCACACACGAGGACGCGCTGTCGCTCAGCCAGGGTAGCTTGTGCATGCTAGGGTGTGCATGTACGTGTGTGTGTGCGTGTCCGTGTGTGTGTCCCCGTCCCCACACAGGACACGTGGGGCCTCACACACCTACAGCCATGGCTGCTCCAGGTCTGGCCCTGCCTCCTGCCACGCCCACAGCACATTCTTGGGGCCTTCCTCTCCCCTCGCCTCTGGCCCCTGACTGTCCCCTGAGGAGCCCGGTGACCTCGGAGCCGGGATGTCCCCAGGAGCCTCAGGTTCTGGGAGCAGAGGGACCAGCACCAGGACACTGCCCTCTCTTGTCAGCAGCAGGGGCCCAGGCCCTGAGTCCAGCCCGGTGTGCACTGTTCTCGGCCGAGGGGGCCAACCTGCATGACCCCAGGAGCTGGGGGCGGTGTCAGGTATGGGGACATCGGGGCACGGGTGGGGGGAGGGGTGCAGTCTGTGCCACTGGGTAAACCCTGGCCCCTCAGCCCAGCCCCCAGGCCCCAGCCGGCCCCGAGGTCTGCAGGACCCCATGCTGACCGGCTGAAACTGCTCCCATTCCCCCCAGAAGGACTTCAGACCCCTGGTGGGTCGGGGGCTTCCTTGGCTCCAGGGTCCCACATGTGTAACCCAGGGTGCCGGCAGCAGTCACCCCAAACCAGTCCTGTGACCCTCCTGGTCCCTGAGGCACCCTTACCTTTGACCCCACTCCTTGGGAGTGCTCCCAGCCCTGACCTCTCACCCAGCCCCTGGACCCAAAGGCTGTGGGGGCGGGAACAGGGGCAGCAGAATTCCAGGTCTGGAGAGCCACGCGTGTGAACATTGGGGTGACACACGTATGGACACACATGTCAGCAGTCGTGTACATGATATGGGGGACTGGATTGAGAGCTGTGGAGGGGACATCAGTGAGATCACAGGGTGTAAGGACCTGGGCTGAGGTGCAGAGTGGGGGGCTGGGAGGCCTCAAGGGCTGCTCCAGGCACCACCCTCAGACCTGTCCAGGCTGTGGAGGCCTGAGTGACCGCAGCTGCGCCTCACCCTCTGCGCCCAGCTCACCAGGCGGAGGACGGGAGGCCAGCCAATCCCGAGGCCGAGGCCACGCCCCCGGCCAGCATGACCTGAGTCCATAAATACACCTGCCGGGGCCCAGCCCAAGGACTCACACCTGCTCGGCACGCACACTGGGACACGCAACCCCTGCCCTCCACCTGCCAGGAGCACGCAGAGGCGCACCCGCCAGCCCAGCCGCCGAGACAGCTGCGACAGCCGAGGAGGGCACCTGCCCCAGGAGCCCAGGCTGGGCCCGGCCCGGAGAGCACTGCCTGAGCAGAACCAGGAGCCGCGGAGCCTGGCCCGGGCCGGCCAGGAGCACCATGCCCCGGCCCCGCTGACCCCCGGCCGCCAGGTAAGGCCCCTCAGCCGGCTCTCACCTCTCACCTGGACCGGCTCGGGGTGGGGCAGCTCCTCGGGGTGGGGCCTCAGTGCCAAGGAACCGGTTATGTGGGCTTGCCAGCGGGGGGGCGGGGGGGGGCGGGCGGCCAGTCCCCCAGACCTGGCCACGGCCACAGCCGCGGCCTGACCCGCAGCCACCCTGTCCCCAGGGCATGGTGACCTCCCGTGTTGGGATGCGGGCACTCGTGACATCACAGTGACGCACCCCGACTCAGGCTCGGTCACCGGGGAGCCTTCATGCGTGTCATCCTGGAGTCATCCCCCCACTGACAGCAAGTCATGGCCGGGCCGCCTCGGGGGCCTCCTGAGCTCCACGGGGCCAGGGATGGGGTCTTCCCAAGGCGCTGGCCTCCTCTGTCCACCAGGTGGAGACCTAGGCCCAGGGGAGGGGCGGGTGCAGCACTGGGCAGGCTCCTGTCAGCAGGCTGGCCACCTGAGCCCGGCCCGGAGACAGACAGGGTCCCATGGGAATGGGATGGGACAGGAGGAGGCAGCTGTGTGCTGGGCCGAGGACAGAGGCCTGTGTATCCTCCCCTCGAGTCCCAAGGGCTGACTCAGGCCCCTGCCACCAGCAGACGGGCTGGCCCTTTGGGTTTGGGGCACGGCTGGGACACAAACCTTCCCCAGGCCACCAGCCTCCACCCTACTCAGGCCTCTCCATCCCCTATAGGCCGGCTTGGCTCAGCCCCAGACCCAGTGCTGACCTTCCCAGCCACGCCTGGCACCCAGCCACGTGCCTACACTGGGATCCGTGTCAAACCCACTTCACTGACCCAGAGCCGAGGCCCGCTGCCAGGTGTCCTGGCTGAGTCCCCCACCCTCCAAGCTGCCTTTTCTGCTCATGGCTGTGACATCCCATGACCTGGCCCAGCCTGGCCGAGCCCAGATGGGAATGGTCACTCCACCTCTGCCAGGCGCACAGCCAGGGCAGGGCCAGCCTGAGGCGTCCCCCTGGCACTCAGCACGGCACCCTGTGCACATGGCGTCCGTCCGCAGACCCATCCGGCTGCCTGCCCCAGCCTCGGCGTGAGGTGCTGGAGGGGGTAGGACAGGGTGCAGGTGGCACCCACAGGTGGGCAGTGTCTTTCCTGGGCAAAGGGGAGAGGGACAGGCTGACCTCTGGAAGGGGCAGCCTGGGGTCACTCACAGTCTCTCTCTTTGTCCCACAGCTCTTAGCCATGTCGTCACGCCAGCAGGTGTGGCATACAGCCACGCTGCCCCCCAGCCTGGGCAGCCCCACAGCCCCCCTGCCCAGGTCCCCCAGCTCGATCAGCGACCCCAGGTCCCCCACCACCCCCAGCTCGGTCAGCGGCCTGAGGTCCCCCAGCTCGGTCAGTGGCCTGAGGTCCCCCAGCTCGGTCAGCGGCCTCAGGTCCCCCGGCTCGGTCAGCGGCCCCAGGTCCCCCGGCTCGGTCAGCGGCCTGAGGTCCCCCAGCTCGGTCAGCGGCCTCAGGTCCCCCAGCTCGGTCAGCGGCCTGAGGTCCCCCGGCTCGGTCAGCGGCCCCAGGTCCCCCGGCTCGGTCAGCGGCCTCAGGTCCCCCACCACCCCCGGCTCAGAGAAGGTGGCCTCTCCCCTGGAGTGCTCCATCTGCTTCTCCGGCTATGATAACATCTTCAAGACGCCCAAGGAGCTGTCCTGCACCCATGTCTTCTGCTTGGAGTGCCTGGCACGGCTGGCGGCCGCCCAGCCAGCCGGCCGGCCGGGCAGTGAGGCTGTGCCCTGCCCGTTCTGCCGGCAGCCCACCGCCGTGCCCGCCGACGGGGCCCCCGCGCTGCGCACCAGCCGCCAGCTGCAGGCCAAGATGCCGGCGCACCTGCAGCGGGAGGAGCCGGTGTGGCTGGAGGGCACCAAGCTGTGCTGCTGCCTCCCCCCCTCCGCGCCCGGCCTGGCGACGCCCGGCTTCGTGTGTGTGGACGTGGGCCTGAGCAAGCCGCCCGAGCCCGCCCTGCCCGCCCCCAGCCCCAGCCCCAGCGGCCGCCCCCGGGGCCGCCTGGCCCGCTGCTGGGCCCGCTGCGGGGACTGGAAGCGCATGGCGCTCATCACGGCCCTGCTGCTGGCCCTCTTCTGCGTGGTGCTCTGGCCGGTGCAGTGCGCGCTCAGGACCGGGAGCCTGCACTGCCTGACCCGGCCGCCCGCCATCGCCGCGCCCACCACCGTCAGCTACCCAGCCACCTTCCCGCTCGGGCCACTGGCCGACGACTAGCTGTCCGTGCCCATGGGGGACCCAGCCCACAGCCGAGGGAGGAATCAGTCCCAGGTCCCCACAGGAGCCCTAGCATCTCTGGGGACCCCATTTGGCTCACGGACCCCACTCTGGGGCTAGATCCTGATGGCTCCCCAAAGCTTCCAAGAATAATGGGCTCCCGTGAGCCCCAGAGACCACCCCTACCTCCCGGTGAGGAGCCCGAGGCCCAGCACCGCCTGGCCAGGCCCCGTACGCGCTGTGAATCGCCCACAGAGGCAGCCCCTGTGGGAAGGGAGGGGCCTCACCCTCACATTTCACGCGGCTCCTTCCCCAGGCAGGGCCGGCCCTCCCTGGGGTGGGGGCGCTGAGCCTGCCCCCGGAACTGCACGTTTGTAAATAAATTATTTTGTATCCACATCTGGGAAGGTCCTTGCCTGTGCGCCCTCCTCCCTGTCCCACTGACCCCCACCCACCGTCCAGCCCTCCCCAGAGAGCCTCAGTCCAGAGGACACCCCTGGGTCCCACTCCAGCCGTCCCTAGGGCAGGGGCCCCAGCCTCCGGTACAACTCCGTCTCCTCCGTGCTGAGGGGCTGGGCAGTGTGGGTCTTGGCTGCCCCCCAGGACCCTGAGCTCCCCAAGGGAGGTGGGGGGACCCAGATCACCTGGGACGGGGGAGCGGGGCCCGGTCCAGAGCCCCCTCCTCCTGAGCCGATTGAAACCCAAGAAGACAGGGCCCTGCGATCCTGCGGGAAGCCTGACTGGGGTGCTGCAGAACCCCTGAACCCCAGGAACCGAGGGTCACGGGGGCACAGAAGCAGAGGTGCAGATGTATGTCCAACAGTCCACATACCACAGTCCCCCTCCGGGGCCTGGCTGGTAACGGGACAAGCCCTGCCAGGCGCCCCCCTCCCCTCGCCCCGGGGTTTGCTCTCAGCCCCAGGAACCCTGCACCACCAGGTTGGCATGGCCAAGAGAGGCCCGGCCGGTTATGGCTCAGCATGCTCACCCCTCACCCCAAAGCCCTGGACTTCCTGCTGCACCCAGCTGAGCCTCTGGGGGGTGGGGACCCCAGAGAAGATGGCCTTGTGGGGCCGGAACACCACCTTCCCCGGCCCCGATCTCAGCACAGGACCACGGAGCACAGACCACGGGGGGGGGGGGGGGGTGTGACCACAGACCGCATGACAGTGACACCGCACCCCGTCAGCACGCACACACACCCGTCAGCTACGTGCACAGAGCCTCGCCCTCATCGCGGGCAGGGCCAGGCATGTGAGGTTGTACATGTGGTCATATGAGCATCTCACACATTCAACAGGTATTTATCCATGTGTGACTGCAATTAATGGCCTGAGCTCCGACCACTGCAGGCAGGGCTGAGGGCAGGCTCTGGAGCAGGGGTCGTGTGCTGGGGGCAGGGGGCAGGGGTCGTGTGCAGGGGGCAGAGGTCGTGTGCATGGAAGATACAGGGAAGCCGGCACAAGCACAACTGGCCATCAGGTCACTGGTCACGTGTATCACACATGCAGGCTGACACTCAAGCATGTGGAGCATAGGGTCGCACATGGTCACTCCCTGCTGTGCAGGTGGTCACTGGTGGCCTCTCACCCTGAGAGACAAGACACAGCCCTGAAACCCTGCCCCCCCCCCCCTCTCCCAGGAGTCCCAGAAGGGCCAGGACACCGGGATCTCCCAACTGCCTGCCCTGTGTCCAGTGTCCAGGTCTCACGCACGGGCAGGCTCCTGGACAAGCTCTAGGCTGCTGTCCTCCTTTTTTATTTATTTATTTATTTATTTATTTATTTATTTATTTATTTATTTTAGAGAGAGAATAAGAGAGAGAAGAGAGAGAGAGAGAAGAGAGAGGGAGAGAGAGAGAGGAGAGAGGAAAGAGAGAGAGAGAGAGAGAGAGAGAGAGAGAGAGAGAGAGAGAGAGAGAGAGAGAAATGAGGGGCAGAGACAGAGAAACTGTGTGAGTGAAAGCCAGCATCTGTCGCTGCCTCCTGTTCGCCCCTTGGTGATGGAGCCACACGGTCGCTAACTGTTTGAAGTGAGTGGTGGTGCATTATCGCGGCCCCTGAGTGGGATCCAACAGCAGCCGTTTGGTGCAGGGGACGAGCCCAGCCACCTGAGCTCACCCACGGGGCAGCCAGTCCTGCTCAGGGGCTCAGCCCCCGGGGCATGGGCGCGGCCCCAGTACCGCCCCCCGAGTCTCTGGTCCTCGGCCGGGGTCTCTGGTCCGCGGCCGGAGTCTCTGGTCCGCGGCCGGGGTCTCTGGTCCGCGGCCAGGGTCTCTGGTCCGCGGCCGGAGTCTCTGGGTCCCTGGCCGGAGTCTCTGGTCCGCGGCCGGAGTCTCTGGTCCGCGGCCGGAATCTCTGGGTCGGCGGCCGGAGTCTCTGGTCCACGGCAGGAGTCTCTGGGTCTATGGCCGGAGTCTCTGGTCCGCGGCCGGAGTCTCTGGTCCGCGGCCGGAGTCTCTGGTCCGTGGCCGGACGCCCGGTTCTGTGGGTTTTTGCGCTCATGCCCTGGTTGTGTCCGCAGGTTCTGTGGGTTTTTGCGCCCATGCCCTGGTTGTGTCCGCAGGTTCTGTGGGGTTTTGCGCCCATGCCCTGGTTGTGTCCGCAGGTTCTGTGGGTTTTTGCGCCCATGCCCTGGTTGTGTCCGCAGGTTCTGTGGGTTTTTGCGCCCATGCCCTGGTTGTGTCCGCAGGTTCTGTGGGTTTTTGCGCCCGTGTCCTGGTTGTGTCCGCAGGTTCTGTGGGTTTTTGCGCCCATGCCCTGGTTGTGTCCGCAGCTCCTGGCCGGGACCCCGCCCTGCCCCCCGCCGGACCCAGACTCGGGCCAGCTCTCCGGTGCTCCCACGCATGCCACAGGCCTTGGAGCACAGTCGGGCTCCGCGGAGGGCTCACCTGGGAGGTGGGGTGCGGCTCACCATGGCGATGCCATGCAGGTGCTGCCACCCACACTTCAAACCTGAAGAAGTAGGAAATGGGGTCTCTGAATGGTCTGCCTCAAAACAAGAAAAGTTCTATTGGGACGTACCCACAAATTACCTGAAAGATGGGGAAATGGGTAGCTAGCGATGGACATTACTTTGAATAAAACATTTTTGATGTTTCTCTTGAAATTATCGTGTTTTCTTTGATTATAAAATCCGAATCATTAAACGGTTAAAAATGTGGATTAATCATCAACCGATTAATAGTGCAGATTAACTATTAATCAGTTAATAATGTGGATTAACCACCAACTGGTTAATAATTCAGATTAACCATTAACTGGTTAGTAGTTCAGATGAACTTTTAACTGGTTAAAAATGTGGATTTTATAAGCAAAGAAAACACGATAATTTCAAGAGAAACATCAAAAGTGCTTTATTCAAAGTAATGTCCACCGCTAGCTACCCATTTCCCCCATCTTTCAGGTAATTTGTGGGTATCATCCCAATAGAATTTTTCTTGTTTTGAGGCAAACCATTCAGAGACCCCATTTTCCACTTCTTCGTAACTTTTGAAGTGCTGCTCAGAAAATGCTGTGCCATCGATCAGAACAAGCGGTCATCTGAAGGAGCAAGGGCTGGTGAATACAGCGGGTGGGTTCATACTTCCCAGCAAGATCTTTTAATGTGTCTCTAACTGGTTTTGAAGTGTGTGATGGTGCGTCATCATGAAGCAAAATTACTTTGCTGTGTCTTCTGGAACATTCTGGTCGTTTTACGATCAAAGTGTGGTTCAGATTGATTATTTGTTGTCAGTATTGATTAGTATTAACAGTTTCACCTGGTCTTAGAAGCTCACAATACACCACACCTTCCCAATCCCACCAAACGCAGAGCATTGTCTTCTTTCCGAAGCCTTGCAGTCGATGTTGATGGTTGACCTGGATCAACCCATGATTTTGTGCATTTGGGATTCTCAGAATAAATCCACTTTTCATCGCCAGTCACAATTCGATGCAAAAAAGTCTTTTATGCCGTTGAAGCAACATTTTATTGATGACTTTTTGGTTTTTCATTTGTCTTTTGTTCAGTGGATGTGGCACCCATTTTCCTTCCTTTAAAATCTTTCCCATTGCTTGTAAATGACTGGAATTTGTTTGCTGAGCAACGTTTAATCTTTCTGCAAGTTGTTTTTGAGTTAGACATGCATCTTCATCCAATAATGCTTGTCATTGTTGGTCTTCAAATGTTTTCAGTTGACCTGGATGTTCTTTGTCTTTCACATCAAAATCATCAATTATAAAGCGTTTAAACCAGCGTTCGCAAGTATCTTGAAATGGAGCATGTTCACCATAAGCTTCCCGAGGTATTCAGCAGCACTTTTCTTCAAAATGTAGTGAATTAAAACCTCCCGCAGATGCTCTTTTTTGGCACGAAATTCAACACTTTAAAGCGTAAAAATATCTGTGATGTGAACACCTTCAGCAAATTTGACATGAAGTTTTGAAGCTTGTTGTCGATACAACAAAATAGCACACTTAACAAATCGCATATATGTCAACATATGTGTAACTCCATGTATTAAAAAAAATCCGCCTCATTAGCCCGTGCACCCCGGAGTGCTTCACTGTGCGTGGCAGCCCCTCCGGGGCAGGCCGGGGCAGGCCGCAGGGTCAGAGCAGGTGTGGCTGTGACCCAGGAGAGGGGGCGGGCCTCAGGGGATAAACCGGGAGGAGAAAACCAAGGCCAAAAGGAGTGGTCAGCAGGGCCAAGGCAGAGCAGGAGGGGTTGGGAGGACCAGACGGGGTTCCGGGCTCCGGAGGCCCTCCCCACCCCCAGAGCTTCCTGAGCCTGAGAAGCAGGCTGGGTCAGCTGCGCTGACAGGTGTGTCTGCTACACCCGGCCCAGAGGCAGCACGTGGGCTGCGGATGGCCTGGTGGCAGGTACACCTGGCTGGTCCATGGCCTGGCTTCTCCTCTGGGTCACTCTGGAAGGGGGTGTGGGGCAGCTGCTGCTGTTTCCAGTGACAGGACACATGCAAGTCTATGCAAATGCGCGCCCAGCAGCCCAGGTCCCTTCCGCCTCAGCCTGGGGCGGGGCTCCGGACAACGTCTCGTCCAGCTCTCTCTGAGGACCCCTTGGGGCCGCCACACCCTCCCCCAATGTCTCTCGTCCCGCCGAGGTCTGCAGCTGGGGCGCCGGCTCTTCCAGGACCTGCAGCTGACCAGGCACAGCTGCCTCATGCACCGGGCACGCTCGTCCGCCCTGCAGGAGGCTCAGGTGGGAGATGCCACTCGGCCTCCAGGGAGGAAGGGGTCCTGCCTCCCCCTGTGGTGGGGAACGGCCACCTTCCCTCGCGGGGAAGGGTGTTCCTGGGTCGTTCCTCGGGCTTGTTCTCTGGCCACTCCTCCTCCCTCGGCCCTCCTGCCCCTTCAGCACCAGGCAGGACTGGGCTGCAGCCACAGCTGACCCTTCCCC